TTTCTCTCCTTCCTCTCTTCCTTCCTTCCTTCCTTCCTTCCTTCCTTCCTTCCTTCCTTCCTTTGTTTTAACAGGGACATAGTACTTCATTGTATGGATGCACCATAATTTATTACACCAATCCCTTACTGATGGACACAGGTTTTTTCAGTCTTTGGTGTTTATTACAAGTAATGCAGTGAATAAAACTGCCATTTTGTACTGTATCTGAAATGTAAAAATTCTGAAATCTCTTTGAATTATCAAAAGAACTAGAAACACTGGGTTCTAATAACTCTGTGTGGACAGCTGGTTGGATTAAGTAGCAGCTGTTTCTAAGGGTCCCTAAAATTAGGACTAGCCTACTGCCATTTGACATTTTCCCATTGCCTCTTCCTACCTCTGTTCAATTAAGGCTGAGTGCTGACTAACATTGAGCATTTTTCTTATAGCAGATTTGGAAAGAATGGGAAATCGCTCTTATACATATGCTCTTCCAAGTAGAAAATGAAAACCAAGCAGGCTGTCTTTTTCAAGAAGAAAAGGAGAAGGCAGATATTTTTGTGGATGTGATTCTGCTACATTTGCATGTGATGAGTTGTCTCATCCATGTTACTTGTCTGGGCATTTGAGTATGTATCCCTGCTTTGTTATGTCCATGACCTTCTCTCATCTCAGAGTAGAAGGGAAGGAACTCTGCTTGCTGGTTGCTTTAGCACTCCCTGGGGAGCCTCTTGGAGACCAGCAGTAAAAATGAACAAGGCAGTCAAATGTAATTTTCTATTACATGTATTATCTTACCAAAACCCCATGAGGATGTGATATTCCTAATCCCATTTTATAGACAAGGAAACAGTAACAGAGTGAAGTTGCTTGCCGAGATCATAACTCATACACGGCAGAACTAGTATCTGAAACCAAGAACTTCTGGTTCTAGAACCTGAAGTTTTAGTCAATATATTATGCTGTCTCCAAAGTCTTTTTTGAATACGGCGTGCCTAACAATTATACTTCGAACCTTTTCAGTTTGTTGTCAGTGGTCGCATGGTAATGATAGTCATGACAAAGATAAGAGAATATCTCTGATAATGGGTGAAAGGTGACATGCTTCAGAGAAGGCATATAATGAGAATGAATTTTTGCTCTCTCAACAAAGGCGATGGTTTATCTTTTATGGTCTGTCACATTGTATAGAGTAAAATTGGCTCCATTGCCCCCTTTGCTCTTTCAGTGCCCAAACATTTATGGAGTACCTTCTGAATGCAAAGCACTGTGTCAGGTGGGAGAGATAAGATGCATGGGCCATACCTGGTCCTGGGAGCCTAGTTATGACATGTCAACAGAAAGCTGCAGTGCCACCTGGTGAACGTGGCATTGGAGTGACATGGATGTGTCAGGTTGGGTCCTGAATGTGACAAAAGAAATAAATTCACTGTGGGGTAACAAGGTGGGTGGTTTCTGGTTGTCTTGGGTCTTCATCATTGCTTGACGAAAGAAGGAAGTGAGGACCGGAAGTGGAGGCTGTGAGCTAAGGTGTTGAGCCATCTTTCTGCCCACAGCTCGGGGTGAAGGTGGTAATGGCTGGGCTCAGTCAGAGTGGAAAGGTGGGCTGAAAGAAACCTCCTTTCCCCTTTGCTGCTCCCCATCTCAGCTTCTCTCATTCCTAATCATCGGTTTAACTGCTTAGCTGGGCTGCCTCCATATGGGGCACTTACCTTGAGAGTTAACATCTCACTGGAGGGCAAGCCCCTGTTCTCCAGTGAAAGACCCAGCCAGCTGAGTCAGAGTGGGGGATGAGGAGACTGTTGCAGGGAGAGAATTAAGAGGGCACAGTTCACAGGTCACCATATTCGACTTTTGAAATCACACCTCAACAGAAGAGTTTATAGGCGGAGGCTTCTTGTCACAGGGAAGCTTCTTATTGTTGCTTTTTATCTTTCTTCTCCCCCAAGTTAGCATTCACAGTATGTTTCATCTCTGTGGTTATCTTAGAACAACTGGGCAGTTTGCTTTTTATTTATGTTTTCTCTGAATGTGACACTAACCATAGCAGCCTGCAGACAGAGGGAGTGGGGAGAGAGCCAGTTACTCTTTATTCAAATACTGTGTTCTTTGGTGCAGCTGATACTAGTGGTAAAATTATGTAAAACAAAGGTGTTGAAACTCAGTCCAAGTGACTGTTGGGGATCTGTAGCTTGTGTGTCTTTGGATGAGTAATGGAAACTTGACTTTCTCTGTTTAAAAAGGAGATTTCAGAGTCCCGTTGGAGCAGACAGCAGGCACTTCTAGGGCTATAGCCATATGTATTTCTCTGTGCTGGCAGCTGTGTGGACCATACAAGGAAAGTATCCCATTATCTTCTTGTCCTCAGGGAACTTAGTGACAAGAAGAGGAACAAAATATAC